ACTCGAATCAGTTAAATCGTAATTTCGTGATGTTTTTTATCTAGATCTGTTGGAATTAAACTTATTGATTCCAGGTTGCTAGCTACTACTGTATGTAAGAAATTAAATACTCATGATAGTTGTATTACTATTCTAGATTCCGCCCGACCCATGTGATCCAATATTAGCAGAGACGCCGTCATTCCACCAGCGAGTAATAAAATTAATTAATTCTGACTAAGCTTGGGTAGTAATTATTCTTCTATATTTTCAGATTGAAAATTTGGATGGCGTAGAAAACGAGTTTCACGGGGATATGACTCTGAAAAGGAAAAGACTAAAAAAACCAGATAAAAGCACCTGGAGCGTGGAGCAGCAAAAAATGAGAAGAATGAAGGGCGATGCATACTTCGGAATTCGTCGTACAAAGAACAATCCCTCGTCGTCAAATTTGTGCCAGCAAAAACCTCCAAGATCAATCGGATCATCGTGTGACTCGCCAAAATGTAAGACATATAAGAATCGACATTGTCAAAAATTTTCGGAATCTCGTCGCCGAGTACTTTTTGATAGTTTTTGGAAAGAAATGGATTGGGGTCAGAAGCATGCCTATGTTCTATCCCTCGTCGACACAATTTCCCCAAAACAGGAGACAAAAAAAGGTGGAGGGTCTCTAGATCAACTACTTTTATTTTCTATCTAAAATTGGATGGTGAGAAGCATCAGGTGGAGTTCCTCTTTGACTTCCTCTCGTGCATGACGTGTCCCTCTCTCGCTCTGCAACTGGATCCTCTTCAATCTGGGTCTCGGGTGTGCCAGGGCGTGTAAAGTGTGTCCCAAGGCCTTATCGCCATGTGAGCCTCGTCCACTCACACCCCCCACCTGCGTGCCTGGTGACACCCCCTGCCACACCCGTCCCAGCAACGACAAGCTGTGCCATCAGGCGAAGATGGATTCACCGGACCATGTGCACGGGAGGATCTACGTCTTGGAGGACTCCCCCAGGTAGGTCATTTGTTTGGTATGTCGGGGTGGTGACCGTGGGGGGTGGTTGATGGAAGAGTGAGGACGGGATCGTGTATGGCGGTGGGCAGTGTAGTCGGGCCTACGGGGGTCCCATGACCCGGTTGTGCTGCGAGGGGTGAAGGGGCAAGTGGGTAGTGTCGCTCGGCTCCGGCCATAATGCATGGTCGCGAAGGGGACACGTAGCCCGAGCCCGAAAGGGCGCTAGGGTATTTCGTGGTCCGTGGATGCCCCGCCCAACAACCTTCACTCGTCTTGCTTCCGCCTGCACGGCTCCGTCTTCATTTGGATATCTCCACATTCCTGTGGAATCTGCCTATGATCTCTATCATTGATTGGCCTATCTGGTGTCTTGGTAGCAGACCCGAATGGACCTCTGGGCATTCCCAGAGGTGATAGTGGTTTTCCTAGCTCTCCACCATAGCTAGGTTTTCCCACTATTCCTCTGACTACATTTAAATCTATTTACATATGTACATTTACACTTTATTCTGTACAAACTATCATGTAGCGATATGGGCTGCGGCCATCGTTTGAATGAAATAAATTTGATTGATTGATTGATTGAGAAGCATCAGGTGTGTCGAAATATGTTTCTGAATACATTAGGAATTAAATACAATCAATTGCGGTACTGGTTGAAGAAGCAACAAATTGCTCGCAAATTGCTCGCAAACCAAGACAAAGGGGACCTTACAACAAAACCGGGGATGATAAAGACCAAGATCTTCGTGAATACTTGAACAGGTTGCCAAAACTTCCATCACATTATTGTCGTCAAAGTAGTTCTAAATTATATCTCGAGCCTGTGTTTACATCTAAAACTAAGCTGTACTTGGAATATTCTACAAATATGAAAAATTGTAACAAGAAACCATTGTCGTATCCAAAATTCTATTCGATTTTTGACGACATGAATATTGGACTATACCAGCCTAAGAAAGATCAATGTGACGTGTGTTCTGCCCATGAAGCTGGAAATATTGGTGACGAAATTTGGAAAATGCATTTACAAAATAAACCGTTGTAACGTTAGAAGTAGCTCACCCTGTAGAATTAGTTTGACATTATTTTGCACCAATGGTGCAGAATAGGACAGATCCACAATTTGGACTTAATTTTGCGTTAATGGTGCATAATAAGCGGACAAAAGATATACATAATTGTGATATAATTTTGCACCAATGGTGGAAAATAAACGAGGGAAAACGAGGCATAATTTTGACATGAAATCTTGACAAATTTAAAGTAAAAATTGTAGTTATTTCTTCCGGTTCGTCTGCATTTTTGGTGCGTTTTGTGTCTATTCCCTCAATTGTTTGGCATCATTTTAAGTCACCGATTGTTCGATATCAGTAGTGCTAATAATTCGGTCACGAATGCCAATAACTCGCTATAATTAGCATCAATTGATGCAAAAGAGTCGTTAACAGACAGACAGACAGACAGACAGACAGACAGACAGACAGACAGACAGACAGACAGACGGACAAGAGGAATTCAATAGCTCGTCTGCTACGCAGGGTGAGCTAATAAGGACGACGCACGTGACGCTAAGGGAGCAGACAAACAAAATGCTGTCAATGGGAAATGCCACGTATTAGTGATGGACGACCAGGCCGGCAAAATCGCCCCACTTCTCAATGCAAGTGCATGTTATTACAAGACCAAGCTTGTGGTACATAACTTCACCATTTATGACCTAAAAAGTCACGATGCGAGATGCTGCCTATGGGACGAGTCAGAAGGAGAGTTAGTGGCGTCAGTTTTTGCAACGTGCTTAATTAAGTACATCGAAGAGAAGTTTACAGATGATCTCCCAATCATTATTTATAGTGATGGATGTACCAATCAAAACAGAAACGTCATGATGGCGAACGCATTGTTGGATCACGCAACTAAACATGGAAAAATTATCACACAAAAATTTTTGGAAAAGGGGTACACACAAATGGAGGTTGACTCGGTACACAGCGCCATAGAATGTAACTTGAAGAAAAGGACTATTTATTTGCCAACTGATTACATAAGTGTTTGCGTCGAAGCTAGGACAAAACCGGCACCGTATGAGGTAAAATACTTGACGCATGAGTACTTCAACGACTATTCTAACAATCAGATGCAGCGATATATAAGCATTCGACCGGGATCAAAAGCCGGCGATCCATGCGTTACAGACATCCGCCAACTGAAATATAATCCAACTGGACTAATTGAGTACAAACTGAAGTACTAAACAAAATCTGATGTTTTTTGCTGTTTTGCTATATTGAAACTTATAATATGGGTAGTTGTGAAGTATGCCGCTAGCTGGCGACTGTTAAAACAACAAAAAAGCATTAGCAAGAAAGCAAAACAGCAAAAAAGGCATGTAAAAAGCAATTATGCATCACAGCCGTCCATGCTTTTTTGATTTTTGGCGAACACGGTAATAAGCCAAGGTTTTCAAAACATTAGGTAAAGTGCGATATTTTTTTCTTAGGACTTGGCGTGGCTCTAAGGGAAGGTCCATAAATTATGTCACGCAAAAATCGCGATTTTCTAGACCCCCCCTCCCCCCCTTTAACATGTGTCACATAGGCACGATATCATTGGAGCCTTAGACCCCCCCTTCCCCCTCTTGCGTGACATAATTTATGGACCTTCCCTAATTTCTTTCGGGGGTAACTTGAGATTTGGCGTCATTGCGAATGACCACGTTCTCGCGAAACCTGGGCAAGCGGAGGAAATAACGCGATTGCTTTTGGCAAAGTTGGACAACTTGGTGAAGTGAAATTTGAATTTTGGCCATTAACATTTGCAATATTTTCAAATACTTGTTAAGGTTTACATTACAAATATGATTTAAATAGTAATAAAGAACTGAGATGTTCACTTGAGATGTTTAGGTGGTCATCGTATCCTCCCGGAGCACCTTTTGTCTATCATGGCCCATTATGTCGATTGGGGTAAATAGACCTTCGATGGATTGAATTGATAATTAAATGTCATGTAGACATTTTCCATCGCAGTAAGGAAGAAGAATTTTTTCGCTTTAACATATTAATATTGTAAAATCATAAATAAGAGAAAACAGCTAGTGTTGATAATTTACGATTTTTACTACGCTTTCGCTATTTTCGACAGTTACGCGAATACCCCCATCTTTTAATAATTAATACTTAATTTGTATATAAATACGATAATTAATGATACAAATTATTTTTAGTGTAATAATTTGTGAAATTAGCTTTTATAATTGCAGAAATAAACGATTTAGAAGAAGTATTTTGTATTTTACAAAAGGTATTTGCAAAATACGTATTTTGTATTCATCGTCCATCCCATCCATCCCATGGTCCATCGTCAATTTTTTGCCTCCATTGCCCATCGTCCTGCATCCATCGACCATTTTTTGTGTCCATCGTCCACCGTCCTGCGTCCATCGACAGTTGTGGGAAAGAAGGGGAGAAGTGCGTATCTAGATGGGTTTGCGTCTTTTACATATACCGACATGTTTGCATCTATAGTTGACATCTATTCGACGAGATTGTATCCAACCGTGCAGTTCTACCTTGGGTGGAATTTATCTCGGGAGGTAGGCTAATATAAGATTGCTATTCATGTCCCAAAGTTTAAGCAGGGGGAACAAAAAAAATTAGCAACGTTGTTAGCAATATGTTACCCGAGAGTAACATAGTGTAACTATAATTGTAACCTGCAGTAGAATTGCATTATTTATATTACTGGCGGAGGTACATACTATGCAATTTGCATAGTATGTACCTCCGCCAGTAATATAATTTATCCCAATTGTGGAAAGTGCTCCCTATCTAAATATATGCTGGGATGTTTGCAGCATAACCAACTGTGTTTTTTTAATATTATTAGTAGGTTGGAACTAAAATTAGATAAATTCTGATTACTGCCTGATGATTGAGACAGCTTGTCCCGAAAGATCGCATTATTTACTAAAATCAAGTATTTATATTTTTTCGAGACCGCTGAGTAAAAATGAGTATGCGTAAAATTAAATATTTAATAGTTTTTTTGCTGTTTACATATGTTATACATATTAGCTCCTAAACCTAACCTAACCCAACTTCCCTCTTTTCCTGCAATATTACCTCCCCCCATTGATTCCGCGGCCACTAACCATTGTCATGAGTTTAAAAATCTTGACACGCTTCCTCCTCATCCGACTTTACTCCATTATTGGTAGGATAACTCAACTAGGGTTACCCGAGGTGAGTGTGACTCGCAAATTTTTATTAGATAACCACTTTCTTGCTGTTATTTTACGCGGGTGGTTAGTTGCACCCGAAACATTGAAAAAAAGTTCAAGATTAAGGTAAAAACGCCCATGAATGTTTTCAATTGAGTTGATCCAGTGTTTCAATTTGTTTTAAATTCTTAAATCTCTACTTTTGTTGCCAGCCGTAAATTATAAATTACAACTGTGCCTTATTTAAACGCAACGGAACACCAATCGTTACACAAATATGCGTAATTATTTAATTGGTGCCCACGAGGTTAAGGAAGGTACCTGGTCAACATTTCATCTTTTACTTGCTGCTCCATCCCACATTTTTTGCTTATTTTGCTAAACAATTCCACCCCAAAACAAGTCAATCCCATCAGTCCACCCATTACGCAAAGCGAAACTGCCTCCTTCATGACGTCCCACGAGACTGGATTAGCTTCCGAAAAGGCCACCTCCCTCTCCACCTTGGTCAGCGCCATGGTCCTGAATAACTTGAAATTAGCTCCTCGCAAAAACTCGCCCGCTTGCGACACTTGATCCGCCCCTTCTCCCAATTTATTCCAATACCCGTAAATCCCAGACTGCACGAGACGTCCCAATCCGTGGGCAAAGAGGGGGTGAAAGAAATTGCGTCGCGAAATCCACGGGACGCGAGAAATGAACGGCGTCTCACCATGGTTTCGCAGGACGATGAGATCTCTCGCAAAGAAGGCGACCCCTTCCACCAGGAGATCGACTTCCTCCCGAACATCTAACAAGACCAGGGGCGGTTTAACTTTGACAAGTTCTCCGTTGGTCGAAAGTACGTCGAGCCCGTGAGAAATGTTGTACCCTGTCGCAAATTTATTCCCGGACAGAAATTTTGTTCTTCTATGCAACTTGGGAAACGATTTTTGCCACAGTTTGTTCCCACTTGTGACAAGATCAGGTAAAATACTGTGCTGAAGGATGGAACCTATTGCGCCATAATCCCTCCCCCCAACTGCGGCGGTCATCGTGACGAAATCCCAGTCCGTTTCGTCTACCAGGGTGTAGAACCCGTTCGGCACGGTTGGACTGAGTGTGGCCGTCATGCACGAAAAGACGGCTCCTTGGTGAAAGTTGCCCAACAAAAATGTCACTTCGCCCCATAGCAGAACCAATACTGGTAAAAGGATACGATTCCTCCGAGATGGTTGCAATCCTGTGGAATCCGTTTGACCGAAGATTGTCGAAATTGTGGAAAACGCAGCATTGGAGAAATTGTTTGAAAATCTAGTCGTCAAGAGCGTCAGTAGGATGACCATACTACCCGACGCGACGAGGATTAATGCCCACGTGGCAGAATCGAATGGCGCTGCGATCGTTTCAAAACTGAGCTTGACCTTGGGCGCAATCACGACAAAGAGAAAGGGGAGGTAGTGCGTGCCGTGGACGTACCACGCGTTCTTGTGCGGACTTCTGGGGCGAAACACGTTTTGGTTGAACGTCTTATCCGCCAGCATGTCAAATATCGGGGTGAGGACGATCATCACGTTAACGGTGGGGAGAAGTGTTCTCCCCCTCAGGTCACGGGGGTAGATGTAATTGGAGAAATTATACCTTTTGGCTATCACCTCCTTGGTGCACGTGCTTCAAGTGAAGGAATACGATTTGGTGGGGGTCATGCATTGATGGGGAGAAATGGGGCATTCTTGAAGGGCAGGTGGGCACTTTGGGACAATATACTGCCGCGTAAATTCCAGTTGTGCTTCCTCCACAGGGCTGAGAGTTCGGCGAGTTTGGTAAGATTTGGAATCGGGACGTAGCGTGATGAGCGGCAGGGGTGACATAGAATCATGACATGGAAGGGTTTAGCTTCCGGTAGGATCAGAAATTTTGAAGTTAGGGCGATATCCGGGGGAAAGTGGGACAATAATGTGGTATGGAAGATGTTGATGAAAATGTAGGTCGGGTCTTCATTAGAGGAGATGATTGTCCTCAATACGTTTAAAAGTTGGTGAGCTTGAGAGGCATAATAATAGAGGCAAGATATTTTTTGTCTGGCGGAAGTATTGTAAGCATCCTCATAAAATCACGTAAATTTGGAAACTTAGCAAATATATGCGTAAATTATGTAAACTTCGCAAATCCATACTCGTCGCATAAGCTTTGTAAACTTTGGCACTTCGTCTCTGCAGAAGCCAGCAACCACCCATTTTTGCAACCGAGCAGCAACCAAGTAGCAGCCAAGGAGCATAAGAATCTGTTCTCCAGTTGCATTCAACAACAAAATCCTGACCAGCAGAGGAGATGATGATGTCAACTCGGTAGCCAGGCAGCATCCGTTTTCATGCTCTGAGTCTGCATTCTTGACCCTTCACCTCTTCTCACGGATGTTGGGAATTGCTGACCACGTAGGTTAGCGGTGGTATGTAAATAAGTACGAGTAGGACGACAATAATTATGACGCTTGAGAGTGCTGGAAGGATGTAGGTTAAGATAGAATACTTTGTTACGAAAAACAAGGGGAGAAAATGGTTGGGAAAGAAGAAAGATGATTATTCTGTCTGGGGCGCTTGAGTGGGAATAAAGTAAGAATTTGTGAGATTGACCGACCACCAAACTTACGTTGTTTAAACACACATATTTTTTGGCGTTGAAAATCCTGACACAGAATTGCATACACATACATACGCATACGGACATTTGCATCCGGAATTTTATTAAAGAAATAAGTGCCAAAAAAACAGGTTCACTTTAAAAAAGTGCATAAAAAGATCGCCCCATATAGGAGAGGCCGCGCAAGGGAAGGGTTGCGCTCACAGTGTGAATGTGGCCAGCCGGGTTTCAAATCTAGAATGGAATGGATAAGTTGGTGAGGAGTTGTTGGAAATTACGGAGTTCTCGATGTGATCCAGAACACGGGGAGAGAATGGATTTGATGAAACTATGTGCAAAAAAACATGTTTTTGGTAGGTAGTCATAGCGGAGAAATGAGCGATAAAGTGGAGTGGGAACCCTTGAAAGAAATTATCTCCGAGAAAGGGGGGAGTACTGGAGGTTGTGGTGATTAAAATAAGGATGGAAGTCGCGCTGTTTGTGAATAATTTATCCATTGTGGAAAGAAACAGGTGTGAAAATATGTATGTACGATTGGCACAATTCATAGGGACACTCGCTATTCCTGGGTTTACTTTTTTAATTGTTTTTTTTAGTTATAACTCCAAGGAAATTCTATAAAAGTTGGGAAAACATCAAGTTCTGTTTTTCTAATGATGGGCCAAATCTTCATTTCGAAGTTGGGGCCACCACACTGCGAGTTTTGATGGCCTGCGAATATTTGTTCCAATTAAAGGTATAAATTTTGACCAATTTCCAAAGTATGGCATGTCGCTAATGGGGGAAAGTTGAAAATTGGACGTATGTAGACATGCACGTGTCAAGGCTAAAATAAATACATGACACTGAGCATCAATATCGACGCGTGTAATTTTGAAACTACCCGACCAACACCATTGGTATCGAATTGGTATTAAATTTCGGCACTAGTTTCGTATCGATTTGCCCCTTTTATCGGAACTAAGATGGTGCCGATTTTTCGTTACAGATACCGATTCAATACCTTTTCATTGCCGACCTTGCCTGTATTTTTAGTTACCTGCATTTCCACCAAATTCTAGGAACATACACTGGTATGGTAACGATAATTCCCCACTGAAAAGGTATCGGATCGGTACCAGTAACGAAAAATCGACACCATTTTAGTACCGCTAAAAGAGGCAAATCGGTATGAAACTAGTGCCGAATTTAATACCAATTCGATACCAATGGTGTTGATCGGGTAGTTTCAAAATTACACGGGTCGATATTGATGCTCAGTGTCATGTATTTATTTTAGCCTTGACACGTGCATGTCTACAGACCTCCAATTTTCAACTTTCCCCGATTAGCGACATGCCATACTTTGGAAATTGGCCAAAATTTATACCTCTACTTGGAAAAAATATTCGCAGGCCATCAAAACTCGCGGAGTGGTAGCTCATACTTCAAAATGAAGATTTTGCCCATCATTAGAAAACTAAAACTTGATGTTTTCCCAAATTTTATCGAATTTCCTTGGAGATAAAACTAGGCCAATCAAAACAGTCGGATTCAGCCGCGCCAATTCTGGTCACAGGTTAATACATCCTCGAATGTACACATACAGTCTAAACCTATATTATCACTTTTGTAGAGAAAAAAACAATTAAAAAAAAATAAACCCAGCAATAGCAAGGGTCACTTTGACTTGTGCCAATCGTACATACATATTTTCACACCTGTTTCTTTCCACAATGGATAAATTATTCACAAACAGCGCGACTTCCATCCTTATTTTAATCACCACAATTTCCAGTACTCTCCTCTTTCCCGGAGATAATTTTTTTCAAGGGATCCCACTCCACTTGAAAAATCGCTCATTTCCACGCTATGACTACCTACCTAGAACATATTTTAGCCATAGTTTTATCAAATCCATTCTCTCCCCGTGTTCTGGATCACATCGAGAACTCCGTAATTTCCAACAACTCCTCACCAACTTATCCATTCCATTCTAGATTTGAAACCCGGCTGGCCACATTCATACTTCCGCCAGACAAAAAATATCTTAATTTAGCCTTTCAAGCTCACCAACTTCTAAACGTATTGAGACGAAGCATCTCCTCTAATGAAGACCCGACCTGCATTTTCATCAACATCTTCTATACCACATTATTGTCCCACTTTCCCCCGGATATCGCCCCAACTTCAAAATTTCTCATCCTACCGTAAGAAAACCCCTTCCTTGTCATGATTCTGTGTCATCCCTGCCGCCCATCACGCTACGTCCCGATTCCAAATCTTACCAAACTCGCCGAACTCTCAGCCCTGTGGAGGAAGCACAACTGGAATTTACGCGGCAGTATATTGTCCCAAAGTGTCCACCTGCCCTTCAAGAATGCCCCATTTCTCCCCGATCAATGCATGACCCCCACCAAATCGTATTCCTTCACTTGAAGCACGTGCACCAAGGAGGTGATAGCCAAAAGGTATAATTTCTCCAATTACATCTACCCCCGTGACCTGAGGGGGAGAACAATTCTCCCCACCGTTAACGTGATGATCGTCCTCACCCCGATATTTGACATGCTGGCGGATAAGCAGTTCAACGAAAATGTGTTTCGTCCCAGAAGTCCGCACAAGAACGCGTGGTACGTCCACGGCACGCACTACCTCCCCTTTCTCTTTGTCGTGATTGCGCCCAAGGTCAAGCTCAGTTTTGAAACGATCATAGCGCCATTCGATTCTGCCACGTGGGTATCAATCATCATCCTCGCCGCATCGGGTAGTATTATAATCTTACTGACACCCTTGACGAGTTCGAGGACTACATTTTCAACCAATTTCTCCAATGCTGCGTTTTCCAAAATTTCGACAATTTTCGGTCAAACGGATTCCACAAGGTTGCAACCATCTCGGAGGAATCGTATCCTTTTACCAGGGCTGTTGTACTTAATTACTCCCTTAATTACTGAAATTGAAGTAATTAGTAATTGATACTTGATTTCAATTACTCCGAAATTTTCTAAAAGTATTGGATACTTAAGTACTTGAAGGATTAGTAGTACTTAAAATAGGAAGTATTTAATTACTTGACCAAGTAGTAATTAGTAATTGAATTCTCAATTACTTTGATCAATTACTTAATCGAGCATAGTTTGGGGTAAATTTGAGATAAATTTGGGGTAAGTCTCGTTCACCGGATGAAGTTTAGAATCTTTTTTTTGAGGACAGTGGTCCCATCCAGCTATTGCATTGCTTGCATATTGCAACCTGCAATGCAATTATTGATCGCAATTGTTCCATGGACTACAAATTGGAAACGTACTCAAACAATCTCGTTTCTCATTACCTGTAAAACGAAAATTATCACTAGAAATTTATGCACTGTTGAGAAATTTGTATATCAATTTCTTTACATGATTACAAAAGTCCTCCGGGCAAAACGGCAAACGACTGACTGTATAAAGTACACATTTTGAAGTTCAAATTTTCAAGCATTGGATATTAAAATGCTAAAGTTCAGTGCAATTTGCCTAGGAATTTTTATGGCTCAAAGGTTATTGGTAATTAGGAGATAGTATTTATTTTATGGGAAGTAATTAGTAATTAAAATCAATTACTAATTAGTAATTGGTACTTAAAAATCAATTACTCTTTGGTGAAGTACTTGTAATTAGTAATTGAATTCAATTACTGGAAAAATAAGTACTTGTAATTGATACATAATTACTTTATTTTCATGTTGAGTAATTAAGAATTAAGAATTAATTACTTTCATAGGTAATTAAACAGCCCTGCCTTTAACCAGTATTGGTTCTGCTATAGCGCGAAGTGACATTTTTACTAGGCAATATTTGAAAAAATGGCTATGTTCCTTTTCCAAAATTCAAATTTCACTCGACCAAGTTGCCCAACTCTGCCAAAAACAATCGCGTTATTTCCTCCGCTTGCCCAGGTTTCGAGAGAACGTGGTCATTCGCAATGACGCCAAATCTCAAATTACCCCCGAAAGAAATTAGACCCACGCCAAGTCCTAGCAAAAAATATCGCACTTTACCCAATGTTTTGAAAACCTTGGTTTTTAACCGACCTGAATATCTGGCATAAAATCCTGCCCTCACGGTCACATTTTTGGCCACGTATCCGCAAAAGTTTGACAAATATTCAGGACCAGGGAGATTTCCGACAAATATTTTTTGCTCTTTGCTGTCGTTTCTGTAAATTTGGGCCACAATAGGACGAGGAAGGCTGGCAAGGGCTTGCACAATGAGGGCCACGGTGACAGAGTAGGTTGATCGTTTCATCTCTGTCAATGCTTGCTGGGTGCGAAGGATCCTTTTCCGAGAATCCAGTTCCCCCAGGGGGGCAGCGTACATGCCGTGCGTTCTGTAATTCGACACCACATTGGGTTCGCGTTTACTGACAGCGCTATAGTTTTAAGCTAATTTTAGTCCCTTCATTAATTCGTCGACTATTCGGCGTGAATTTCATTTTAATTGGTTTAATGTTTTTTTTGCATTATTATCAACTATGGCATCATACTTACTAGAATCGCCACTTGGTGACAAAGAGCAGCGGTAAGTGAGATGCATTTCCTTAAAAAACAAAAACACCACGAAAAAATGAAATACGCTTCCTCTGCTTTTTTATGGAACACTGCATCCCATATTACACTTTTTGATAGTCGTGCCATATCTTAGGTTGGCTGTTAAACGACAACTTAAAAAATATTTATAAACGTGTAGTCACCAAATTTAGGGACAGCGTTGAAAGACACTAAAATTTTGAATCAATCATATAGGTCGACTAAGGGCCCATTAATTCATGAATAGTTATACAAATCCCGACTTTGAATTGGACACCCAAACTTTCGTGTTGAGCCGAAATATTTTGCGAACTAAATATTAGCCATTAAGATGCCGAACTTCGCAAATAGTAAGAGGTAAAGTTTGAGATGGTAATATTAAAAAATTCGCGTCTTACACATGGTTACCGAGGGGACGTTCCCTCTCCCACGGGGGTAAGATGGCTGTCTCCACCGCCACAGTTGCCGGAATTGGGCCACCCTTAGCAAAACACGACATTCGGACCGCACCCAACATTGCCGAATGCATGACCGCCACTCCGCCAACATTATATTTTTCTCCTATCTTACGAATCACGCTGAACGGGATGGACCCGCTGGAATGGAAACGAAGGCGAGCAGCAGCTTCGGAACATGATAATTCGTCGTCGAAACGCTTTAAATTCACAAGGACAATTATGGCGGACTTTTTGAATATTTAAAAATTATTTTTTTTCACCATCTCGTTCCGAACTAGACCAACAGTTCGGGAAACTTCCCGGCGGGTTTTCACATAGTCGTATGGCATCGAAAGGTATCGAAGTAGCGACAGGTGCTCTGATTTTCTAGGTTTTTCCCATACGGCGTCCGGACCTTGAGGTATTCTCATTTTCCCCAACATATGAAGGATTCCCGCACCGTCGGAAACGGAGTGATGGAATCGGAACATTAGTTCGAATATGGAGCTACTCGCTTTACGCACGATCACAACTTCCCACAAGGGTTGATTTATCTTGAAAGGTTTGAAAGTTAGTTGAGTCTGAAAATTGGCTACTTCATGATCCCTCATATCTGAAAATTGTGCAAGTAGTTTCTTTTAAATAATACGCAAAAAGGGTTAAAAAATTGAAAAGTTTTCCTTCTACTAGATGGTTCGACGATTAGTCTGGTTTTTAATTTTTTGTTGCACCCCCGGGGGAAAAATACAAATATTCAGAAACGTCGTAAAAACAACACCCGTAATTTTGAAAAAAATCCCTGAGCGTCATTGTTTATTGAATTTCAAAATCTGGAAGAAATACAGAAATCTAGCAGCCCCTCCCTGTCCAATTGCAGTACACAATTTTACATGTGCCCTTTTGCATTCAAGCAGGTTACAGAAGGACCAAAAATGTGCACAATAACCTTTTCACAATACTAAATCTCAACAAAACTTTGCATAACATGTCTTGCCAGTGTTCCGGGTGGCATAAACTCAAGTGGTAATAACCAGCCATTTTAGCCGGCCAAAAGTAAGCCGGTAGTGGTCAAAAGTGGCAAAAAGTGTCGCCATTTAGTGGTGCACAAGGTGAACTATTATATGTTCAGATAGCGGACCTATAGGTGGCGACACTTTTGACCACTTTTGGTCACTAACCACTTTTGGCCGGTTTTAACCACTTTTAGCCGCCCAGTGGCCAAAAGTACATTTGGCCGGCTAAATCGGAACACAGCATCGAGGGATGGAGCCAGACATTTTTGGACATTTTTTTGACAATTTTAACTCACTAGAGGGATGGAGCCATATCCGGTCATGCAGAAATAGGGAGGCTTCCTTCCAAAAAGGAAATCCCAACCAGTGCTCAATAGTCCATCCCAGTTCCGGATATAACAACTTGTTCGATTCCGTCCTGGCTTCCAGCACGTTGGTCCTCATCGTCTCCCGGATCAAGTCCAGATCAACGTCTCCCTCCAGTTCGACGCTTCCTATGATCGCGTTAAGTGGACAGGTGTGAATTTCATCGTGAGAAAATATTCCATCAATCGGTGCCAGCATGGAAATGAGGTCTCGTCGTAACTGCAAAATAAGGAATACGCACTCCAAATAATTCGGTGTAGTTAGGCGGGTGTAAATTTCAGAAACGGTTCCTCTTATACAAACGAAATATGACCAGAATAGCATAAACTATTGAATTATGAAACTCTTTACCGCGGGAATGGGAAGCTAATGTGACCCACAATAAATTTGTCCAACTTTATCGCGAATTACTAATTGCAAAACGTGAAGATGATTTTTTGTACTAACAATGCGATGCCGTGATGTGCTTATTTCTGATCTTGATGGGACTAACTTTAATTTGTTCACCCCCAAAAATAAGCGGACCCGTATTTTTGCGTTTCCGATAATACGCGCATTTGAGCGCGTGGCGGGAATTTAAAAAAAATCCAGACAAAATTTCGGGTTTTGAAATCGCTATAAATTTTCGAATTTTCGAAAAATTCTTGTATGCTTTTACTTACTTCCTCTACAATACAATTATTTTTTAATTTTGAAAATTCTAATTTTGTAGGGACATTGTAGGTTTCGAAATTCAAAGACTGTTTGAAGGCTCATATTTTCAAAATTTTTTGAAAATTAATTTTTATCTTGTAGCGGAATTAATTCTAAGCATACTTTTTTTCGTTTTTTAATTCGCGCCAAAATTCGAAACTTTATAGCGATTTCAAAGCCCGAAATTTTGGCTGGAAATTTTTTTTTAATTCCTGCCACGCGCTCAAATATCAAATCAAACATACTTATCTTGTCATCATTTTTCTAACAGGTTTAAATTGTCCCACGACTTACCAGCATGGCCAATATTTTCACGCCACAGCGAGCCAGGTAGAATGGGAGCCAAGCCAAGATTATTAGCGGCAGGAACAACCAGATTGCAGCAACGGTTAAGAATGTGGTTATGTTACTCATTATCAGGATAAGTTGCAGCTCTACAAGCTCTACGAGTATCTTGACCACGACTGAACCTAGCTTGCTACCAGACAGGTATTCCAATTAAAAAGGAGCATTTGTAACCAAAGATTATTGAGGTTCCTTAGATGCATTGTGAATGTGAAGTAGCAATCCCAACCAAAAAGCCAATCTAATTCACACTGTGTTCCGAGAGGCTGTAGAAAATTGATAAAAGTTGGTCCACCACATTTACTTTTGGCATAATTTAATTGCGACGTCGCACTAAAATCGAGTCGTCGATTGTAACCACAAAAAATATACAAAGTTATACATTATGCAACCTTTCAATAGTCATTTATCTACTTGAGAGAAAGGCAGTTCTGTGAAGACTTGATGACGTAAAAACAGGTTGAGAGAATGATATGCAGAACGTTGTGCTCCGCCATACATTTAGGAAGGAATGTAGATATTTCTGGTTTATTGATTTAATAGGAAGTTTGTGCAGCTAGGTTGTAAGGATTTCCGCAACGCTCCGTATCTCTTGGGAATGGGCACAATTTTCAAAAAAAATATGAACACCACCCCCACCACAATTTACTAATTTGTTCCGAGAAATTTTGCCCACTCCTGAGAGATACTGTCCCATGCCAACTCTGTGCTTCACCGCAACAGCTTGGGAGCGAAGCAAAATGGGGTCCGTGAAGCACGACATGCAAAAAATTTTCAAACTTCGCCATAATTTAGAAAAAATTAATAGAAAACTATTTTTCCTACAAATTTTTTTGATATTTTGCCTCCCTGACCTTTTATTAAGGGGTCAAACCTTTGCGTTATCTTTCACGTTTAAAATATTTATTAATTTAATTTCAAAAATATATTTTAAACTTGAATTTCTTGCTTTTGGCGTGTAGATTAGAAAAAGATAACGCAGAGGTTTGACCCCTTAATAAAAGGTCAGGGAGGCAAAATAGCAAAAAATTTTGTAGGAAAAATATTTTTCTATTAATTTTTTCTAAATTATGGCGAAGTTTGAAAATTTGTTGCATGTCATGCTTCACAGACCCCATTTTGCTGGTGGTGGATGTGAGTAGTTACTCAATCTACAATCACACAAAACTAGTTGCAAACAAGTTCTTGTCTCTAATTTATAACTTATCTTGAATATTAATGAAGATCAGAAAGGTATTTTGGCATGTGCAATGCTTTGAGTGCATTTAGTTGAAAGCTTTCTTCTCTCGATGTCACACTCAATTTTTCATTTACCGCATACCACGTGTGTGCCAAATTTCAACTAGATCCTACAATTTTATAGAGAGTTATCGCATTCCACACAAATATTCTGATACCAGGTAATACGTCTGTGCATAATTTTGTGCATAATTAGAAAAGGCATAGCAAAAATTCTGCACATTTCAATCCCAATATTACAAAAACTTTGAAATCGACCCTGGGCAAGATAGAGTAACAAGATGATTTTCTTTCCTCTACCACTGTGGTTACAATTTTATCACCAAAGAGTAATAGTAAATCCTGCCAAAATCAAATTTGCCACCATGCTGGCAAAAATTTCATACCCGTTAGTGATAAATTTAATTTTCGCAGAATTATTTTTTACTCTTTGGTGATGAAATATTACCACGATAGAGCATCATAGTGATTATATATACGCGGTGACGGTTTTCTATATTAGTTACAAATTATTTTTTTCATAGGTGTCTCTAACCAATCTAAAATTCACATGTCGTTCCACAATTTCATTTCTAGGTAACTACTTTAACTTTTAAACTCAATTTATACCTTAACTCGCAAATTTTACCGCAGCTTATTTGTCCGAATTTACCGCTGTTATGAACCCGGTTACCAGAAATTACTTCGAGACGAGAAATTAATCTTATTTCAAAATCTGCGTAACGACCGAGAGGTACCACTCATTCTAGAAATTGGGGCCGGACCCGGTAAATTTGAAACTTTTACCACACCACGAACTTGCCCAATTTAAATTTCTACTTTACAGGAACCAATTTCGTGTATTACCCCACCCCCTGCAACGTCATACTTGTCGAACCCAACATCCAATTTAAGGAATGCTGTATCGCCGCCTTGCAAAAATTTCCAGGCATTAACTTACTCGCCTATTATGACGTGGGGGTCGAAAACTTGGGAAATGTTGTCACCCCGGACAGCATTGACATCGTGCTTGGCACCATGGTGGGTTGTGCCGTCCCAGACGCGGGAAAATACTACGAGATTGTTTTGAACGTGTTGAAACCAGTAAGTTATGCAAACAAACACGCAGAATTATTACCGGGCCAAGTCACCACGACGTGCCATGTAGGTTAAAAGTTGTGACAGAATGGTAACAATAATTAACTGGAAATTCTAATTTGTCACCAGACGGTATAAATGTCCTCTCCCGAACTTCCTATGTCAACATTTTGTCACAATTTTAAACCAACATCATTTATCGCATTGCTATCCCAACTAAGTTTGGCACGGGCAATGATCCTTCACCAAACTATTTCAAGTGCTCCCATATTGCCCCAATAATATGACACGGAGACGGCATTCCCCCCCCCTTTAAATTACCCTTTTGTCGAAATTGTGACGAAATTAGTAAATATTTATTTAAAAAATCATCTCTCAGGGCGGCAAATTCTACTTTATGGAACACATCCTTGGTGAACCTGACTCGTGGCAGGCGCGATGGCAGCGCGGAACCCAGTGGGCGTGGAAACCTTTCGGGTGCGGATGCCGCATTGACAGAGATCTCGACAAGGAGATAGACAAGGCAGGATTTGCTTTTGTGGAGAAAAAAATATTTTACCTAAAACTTAAAAGATCTTCTTGGTATATGCCGCTTTGTGGGTGTAACATGGTTGCAAGGAACGTGCGAGGCGTTGCCACAAAAAGTACAGCAGCTTAAACAGCATTGAGGGTATTCATCACGACTTCGCGTCGTTAGCAACGTTAGTAAAAAATCAAAGTTCGCATAACAAAATTGGCTTGAAAAATGATTTGCTAACTTTCGCATCTCCAGGGCTAGTAGTCGTTCGCAAAAATATTTAAAAAATTTTTTTGCAATGCTAACATGCGAAGTCGTGATGAATACCCTCATTGTTCACATTAACTTTGCACATATAGGGTATCAAATTCTTGGGTTGCCTTCATAAGTATTGGTTGATTTCATATGTAAATTATTTGTGAAGATTAAAATTGAACTATGTATGAATTTTGATTGTTACTCCAAACTTCTTACGAAAAGGGTTCGTCTACCTGAATACGTTTTGAGATTCTATGTAATAACACTACCATGCAGAATATATTCTTAAATAATTTTAGAGTTATTGTGTCACATATTAACATGGTCAGGTTTGATTCTTTGATTTTTATTGATAAAATGTATAAATTTGCATACATGGGCCAATTACATTGATTCATGTAACTGGATTACCAATTACAAATTACTCGAAATTCGGTAATTGGATTACTTTCCCAATTAAATTACATTGAACTGGCCAAGTTACAAATTACAATTACAGTAATTGGATTACATTTCAAATTACCAATTACTTTATTCTAGAAAGGTGCTAAATACACTGTTTTGGTTCATTAAAAAATTCGCCAAAAATCTTATTTTGATTGGGTTTTCATAATTAAAGCATTTTCGTGATCCTAGGTCGTTGCTTTATCATATCCAATACCAAACTCAACTTTTTTGAAATTTAGATTTTTTCAAAGATCAGAAAATATTCAAAAAATTCAAAAAATTAATTTTTGTGTCGGATATTATAACACAACTATCTAGGATCACAAAAATGCTTAAATTTCGGAAATCTTATCCAAATTGGATTTTTGGTGAATTTTTGAAGTTGATAATTTTCGTGTTTTTCGCACCTTTGAGTGGGTGTGGCCTGTGCAAGTGTGACCATGGAGTCAAACCACTTGGGGTTCTTAGTACACTCATGGGATACTACAACATCGAAAGGGCATCGAATTCTGTGAGTGACAACTGTGACAAGTGGTGAAGCTTTCCTCTTTAGCTTCAAAGTAACCGAATTAAATAATATTGAATTTTTACAATCTCCGCCATACTTAAATTTTGTTCTGGAATTGTGTAGGATGAATTCAAACTGAATTTGATAGATATAATTTGCACGTTTATTAAGTAGCGCAAGCCACTTTATGCGATCGGTTAGTTACTCTGTCCGTCCGTCCGTCTGTTTGTCAAAACTAAAACTCGAGAGCGGTTTTTCGCAGCGACCTGACATGTTCTTCGCTGCTGTGGGGTGACACCCTATTAGGGGGGTGTGACCACTTTGTCGACATCGTGTCGAAAAACGTCGCCATGGCCTAATTTCGACATTTTTTGGGCGATTTGCATGGAGTTTGGGGAAAACATGTTTTTTGGTGTTGACGACATGTCGCAATATGGCGATTAAGGTTTCGAAAAATTTTGTCGCCATTACCGTATTTGGCGATTTTTTGGGCGATTTGCATGAAATTTGGGCAAAACATGTTTTTCGGTGTTGTCGACATGTCGCAATATGGCGACTAAGGTCACGACCCAGCATTCTCAGCAATTTTGCGCTACTTATGTATCGTGCTTTGCCGCACTTTAGTTTTTACTAAATTGAATTGTCTATGCAGCAAATAAAATTCACCAAAAATTTGCAATAAATAATTAATTGTAAGATGTAAATGGAAATTTTACGTAAAATAGCGCAAAATAATGCAAAATAGCACGAAACAGTGTGGTTATGTTTGTTCGATAGTGCACAAATCCCTTTTGTTTGGCGATGTACACTTTTCCAATGTAATTGGTAATTTGGAGTAATCCAATTACATTTATTTGAAAATCTCAATTACCAATTACTAATTACCAATTACAATTTTAGAGCATGTTCAAATTACATTACCAATTACATTTTTTGTAATCCAATTACGTAATTGGATTACATGTAATTGGCCCATGTATGTAAATTTGTATGTAGATCATTACATATTTTACTTTAGCTAAAGTTCGACATACAGATAAAGTAATCCGGAATGTTGGATAGGATAACTCAGCTTTATGAGAACACCAGAAAAATGGTTTTAGCTGTCTAGGCATAAATATTTTAGGATGTGTAAATATTTTGTAGTATTACTTAATTACAAAAAATAGTATTTAACGATTTTTCTCCTATATAATCAAGTTGGTGATGCCGCATATAAATAAATCCCACTAGTTAACTCCATCACCGTGGAAAATGCCTTTTCTTAAAAATAACATTATGCGACTTTGGATAAAGTAACATTCCAACCAAAGGTTCAAAATCAGGATTGTACACGGTTACGTCAAACTCTTGGTAGACACTCGTCAAGAAAAGCTCATCCATCGCAAAAGCTCTTCCTGGACAGACACGTTTACCATACGAGAAGGCAAGAAAGTTAGTGTTTTCCATAAACTTTCCCTTCACAAGGAAACATTCAGGTCTGAATTTTTCAGGAGCATCCCATAATTCTTGATTATGATGGGCATACCATAGATTACGCAGGATCATGGTATCCATTGGAATGAAGTAGGATCCCAGCTCAGTATCTTTCGTGGTCGAATGGAACACCGAAAATGGAACTAGGCTCATGTAGCGCATTACTCCGTATATCAAAGATACGCAGTATGACATTTCAACTTTATCAGAAAGCAATGGAAACCTATCTCTACCGATTATGGTGTCAATCTCAGAACAAAACTTTACTTTCACATCGGGGTATTTTGTCATGAGGAGAACAGCCCAAACTAGAGTTTGACTAGTTGTATCGGTCCCAGTAACGAAAAGATCGACCAGCACCCAAAACAGTTCTAATGAAAAAGCAATTGAATCAATTTTCCTCAACAAATATCTATGACGTGGTTTATGAATGTACCAGATTTGGGAGATGCTGCATTTGTTAAATCGTCAAATACTTTTTTGTACGATTCGATAATTATGTCCTTCTTGTTTCCTAGTCTCGTAATGGAATTTTGAATATATGTTATCGTAAACTTTAAACTTTGGAACTTTGCATGCATAAGTATCAACTAATTACCGACTAATCCCGCCTCGCCAAATTTTTAGATCGAAAAAAAATCTCCACGGATAATTGTTTTTCGAAGTTCAAATATTTATTATTTGATAGTACAACTCATTAGAAGAAAAATGAGCTATCGCACGACCATGTGCGCTTTTTCTGACGCCCACAGGAATTTTTCGCCAAGGTCGGTTTTGAGGACTAAAATCTCCACGGTCATGAAAATCGAAAAATCGAAATATACAAAAGCATATATACATATACTTCTATACTTTTGTATATTTCGATTTTTCGATTTTCATGACCGTGGAGATTTTAGTCCTCAAAACCGACCTTGGCGAAAAATTCCTGTGGGCGTCAGAAAAAGCGCACATGGTCGTGCGATAGCTCATTTTTCTTCTAATGAGTTGTACTATCAAATAATAAATATTTGAACTTCGAAAAACAATTATCCGTGGAGATTTTTTTTCGATCTAAAAATTTGGCGAGGCGGGATTAGTCGGTAATTAGTTGATACTTATGCATGCAAAGTTCCAAAGTTTAAAGTTTACGATAACATATCGAAATTTCAAAAAGTCAATCGTACGATTAATTAAGCTTCATTAAGCTGTATGTATCATGTTTTCTACGACGAGTCAGTAATTGTTTCCCTTCGACATGGGAAAGTAAATAGTTTATTTAACATAGCATGATAATCAGTAATTACTGTTGGCTTTGGCAACAACATAATAACGAAATGTTTATCGTTAAGGAATTTAACAAAAATAGGCATAACGGCCAATAAGTAAACCTTTATAAAATCATGCTCTGAACAATCCAAATTTTTAAACCAATCGCTAAACCTTCCATAAATTGCAATTTTTGGCACTGAAAAAGATGCGATTTTTAAACAATGCCTTGTCATTTGTCATCACGCCATTAACATTAGTATCCAGCCTGTCGTTTGAATCTGTATGGGAAGCGGGATGCAATATACCAGTTCCAGACCAAGATTTTAACAAGATTTTGACCTGGGTAAGTTAGGATACTGGTTTTGGAAATTTGTCATTTTATGGGCGATTAATTTAGTTTAATACACATATTTATCAGTGTTGCAAGTGGTAAAAACCATATTTCCCAAGACAGTGGGGGAAAAGTGGGATCAAGGAACTTTTTACAACCCATCAAAATCAGTGGGAAATGTGAGCAATTGGGAAAAACGTTAATTCTTATGCGACATACTCTAGGTGGCGGCACTTTTTCCCATTTCCCACTAGGAAAAAGTGTTTTGGGTGGGAAATATGCAGCACTGATATTTATATCCTAGTCAAGTTGCAAATTTTAATTCGCACGAATTGAGTTGAAAAACAATAATTGTCTAAATAAATTTGAATCTTTATATCAACAACACAAATTTTTGCATAAAACATGTTGATTCTAAATATTTATCTACTGAATTATCCGTGTATGGATTCAAATTCTTAACTTACTTTAAATCGCAATTATATATTTTTATTTAACATTCTAGGCAAGAAGTGTCCCATTTTTTACACAGTTCTCCTCAGTAAATCAGAAATGTTCGGGACCACACTTGAACTACTGGGAAGTGACAAGTTCTCCAAAATGAGTGAACCCGATTTGCAAAAGTCGTGCATGTACTACAGTCTACGAAACGATATCGTACCAATTTATGGATTTGGGGATAAATTAAGCAAATATAAAATTTATCCAAATCCATTACGCCAAGGTGTCTGGGACTGGACTACTATTCCGCCAAAGTCAATAAATCGAAGTAAATAATAAGGGTATGTGTTCACCATGATAAATAACGTAACTGTGATAAGGGTCATAAGTTCTAAAAAATCTAACAAAAATCACCACAGTTATGCTTTTTATGATTGTGGCGTGAATACCCCCAACACTTATTTTTTTTCTGGGAGAATTGTGTATCATGTTTTATTAAAATGTTATATGTATTTCAGTCTTCCTAGGAACTACGTACGTTACGATGTCGGATAATGAAAACGCACTGGTTATCGTAACCCTTTGGACAAATGGAATGAAAGGATTTTCTATCGGGTCGACAAAGCCACATTTGCCGGATTCATTCCTAAGAAAAGCCAGGAAACATTTGGTCGACGATTTAGGCTTGAAGGAACTTTTTTTATCGAAAATAATTATGACGATTGTACTCCATTTGAAAAAGTTGTAGAAAGGTTTAATGATGAGCTATAGGGATAAGATACATATTTTCTGATAAATGTTAATCGACTTTTAATTAAACAAATGACTAAAGTGATACTACAAAGATTATGAAGATTGAATACAATACGAAAATTCTGTCTTTAAGTGAAAGTCCTATCTGATTTTAGGCCCGTATGAAACGTAAAGTATTAAATTTAATATTTTTTATACGAGTTGCACCTATCCCTTCGCACAGTATTATTTTTATCCCTCTGGTACCCAAGAAGCTCTTTCCTTTCTAATTGACAGTTGTCTTTACTGATTCATGCGACTTGCGAGACAGTTCGTTTTCACCGCGGTGTAGATGATTTGGGGTAACCTAAAACGCGTTCAAAACGAACTGTCTCGCATTAATCAGATACTCCCAATGGAACAGTGTACAAGGATGGGTGAAAATATTTTCTCTTTTTAAACTAAACGGACTGGAGATACGCTTATATCCCAGTATGGGTCGTCAACCACTCCAGTTTCCAGTTCGTTTATACATAGCTAAACCTGTTTTGAGGAAATCGATTATTTCTTTAAAAAATCACGCATTATGCTTAGGGATCCCAATCCCGGACGATTTTTTAAATCCCGGGAATCGGGATTCCCGGTTTTAGCCCTGAAAATTCCCGGGATTTTTCCCGAAATTGAAATATTACCATATAATTTGAAATGGGTAAATTTGGGTTATACAAAGAGGTCTTTATGGACAAGACAACATGTGTACATATGCATGAACATATATGCGAACTTAATACGTACATATGTATGTACATGCGGGTATGAAATACCTATGTACCTGTTAATAGATATACTCTTAGAAACTTCGTATTGAAAAAAATTAACGGTTTTGTATTAAACAGTTGTATCACCCAGGTATAGATTCGGCAATGAAATAATACTATGTTGTAATCATTTTATTACTAGGTGGTATTAAACTTTGTAGCATTTGGTAATAATTTTTTTAATTAACCAAATCATTACCATGGTGGCAAAGTCACATATCAATACCATGTTTACTGATTTTCTTAAGAGTGTACGTATGTGTTTTGGCATTCTATGCATATAGACTATTGAATAAGCTAATTGGCAAATGACATACTCTACACCAGTGTTCCGATCGATTTCGATATATATCGTATCGTATCGTTCGATACGATTTCGATACGAAACGATATGGCCTTCGTATCGTATCGAAAGTTTCGATACGATACGAAATATCGTATCGAGTCGACGATTTCGATATGAGCCCCATATCGTATCGTATCGTATCGAAATTTTCGATATATATCGAAACTTGAAATCCGTCAAAATATAAAATGACTTTGTTCATCATGACCTAATTTATTCTACCATTCCACATCAAAAGCATGATGGGAAAGCAGGAAACATGTTACATGAATGTATTTACAGTTTAGTAAATAAATCATACATATTACTTCGGTACTACCGACTCGGTAGTTTAAAACCTGAATGAAAAAGCTTAATTTTCCATATGCTCTGAAAGTAATCATTGCTATTACTAGCATTATCTACTGTAATAATGTCACTTTTATTTTCATCAAATTGTTCCACTATAACACTAAATAGTTGGAATATTTTTTCCAAAATAATTTGCGTCAATTTCTGTGAAATTTTCCTACAATTTAGCACACAATTTTCAAAATATAAACATTCTGATTTATTATCAGGACCGATGGGGTAACTCATATATAAATTTTTGAAATTCCAACACATGTATTTGTTGTTTATGAGTCGTTTTTAGACTTATTTCACCTAAATATGTCAACTTTTAAAACTCGACTTATAAAATAGATATATATCGTATCGTATCGACGATTTTCGATACGATACGATATGGAGCCGATATCGTATCGAATCGATACGATACGATACAATACGACGCCCTGTATCGTATCGAAAAGTTTTCAAACGACCGATTCGATACGATACGATACGATTTCGATATGAAATGTTGCTATATCGTATCGCTCGGAACACTGCTATCCACTAAGCAAGGTTTTATTATTTTGTCTATGGAACAATTTTAGTGTATTGTGGTAGCCCCATTTTTCCTTGTCCATCCTGAGGAGATGATTGGAAAAATATTCATCATTTCACTCCAGAAAACTTCAATAATTAATAAAGGTTTTCGGCAGCATGATTTCATTAATGGTTTCATTAATTGTTGGAATGTTAATAAATTGTTAATAAAATATCAAAATGCTCATACTAACAATGCGAAGGCATGAAGTGTAACACTCAGATTTGGATGAGACCAACATAAATGTGTTTATCAACTAGTTTTAATGCATCAATGTGATTATCATTTCAAAGAATGCACACTTTGGCCAGAGTTATTGACAGGTCAAGTGACGAAAAATGACGAAATTTTCACTGAGGAGGCATTGAACTCCTGCTCCGCTCACCACTCCATCCACTCATCTCTCGCTCTCTCGCATACCTTTCGTTTTAAATTAGGACATTATTTCCTGTCTTATTCCAATTTTTTATTTCGTTAATATCTGTGAATCTGATTTATTGAATTAATGGAGTCTATTAATATACTTTATGTGTGCCAAGCATCAGGTAATAAAGTTAAATCTCCTCCTCGTTTGCTTCTTCGTCGTCACAGTCAAATAAATATTTAACTTTATTACCTGATGCTTGGCACACATAAATTATATTAATAGACTTCTTCATTTTATTTTGCCTATCAATATCAATATTTTGTCCAAAAAGCAAGGTTGCGTTGCCTATTTGTCATGTAAAATATTTTTGAAGCAGCATTTTACTGATTTTATTGCCGTGAGCAGAGTGGTCGCCAGCAGGTCGAGTCGCAAGGAAGATTAAATATTTATTAGTGTTGGCAACTTTTTCATTTTATTTATAAAATTTTAACATTTTAGAAATTTTGTATGCATGCTGAAACGAAATAATATTTTGCTGTGTGGACAAATAGGAAAATTTAAGACACTTTGTGATAACAAATAACCTCAAGCAATAATTTAAGTTTTAACTCCCTAGCAAAATAAAGCTAACTTTTTGCTTTTAACTTACTTTAAAGCTGATTTTTTGTTGTATTGAATTATTTTTTTTTGCTTTTTTGCTACTTATAACATTGTAGGTGGCATTTACGCTGCTAGGTGGCGCTTAGGTTAGAAAAATAGCACGAGTAAAAAGCAATAAAACAAGTATAAAAGAGTAAAAAGTAATTAAGCATTACAGCCCATTCTGCTTTTTTTTTGCTTTTTTACCCGATTACTAATTAATGGTCTAAGCTAGGGGCAAGGTTCGGTTACCGCGGTTGTTTAATTCTTTATAAGGCATAAATTTATGTAGGTCGACTGGATAACGGTATTTACATTGGAATGTATAAAAAAGGTCATTTTGATAAGATAATGTTACATAATTACGCCAATAAAATTGGGTATCTTGTCCAAATCATAATCACTCTTCTCCCAACATTAATCTTGTACGCAGTTAAGGTACCATCATTCTTAATTCTTCGGTATAAATACTTAAAATGTATCAAATTCTCCTTGTCGTCACCTTGAGCCTTTTGTGTCTAGGTAACGAAATTTTTTATCGCGATGGTTACATGTTAATTAATATAAATATTAGCATGCTAAAATTTGGCATGCTTTTGCAGTGAACATAATTAAAATATGATTCCATATTATAGCAAACTCGGTACTCTTGCAGTCCGTCTGTACTCCGGTGGACGTGTCCGAGCTGGATTTGCACTACGTGGGGAAGGTGAACGGTACATCGCTTTATACTAACCTTGGAAATGCGGTAAAATTTCTTAATTAATTAAGAACTTACTTTACTAATTATAAATAAACGCTCACTGTCTTTTCTTTCTTTCAGGGAATGTCGTTTCAAGATGCGATCGATTTCTGCCATTATTTCGGCTTTACACCTGTCATAATCGAATCGGAAGATGTTGATGTGATGCTGAACGATTTTTTGAATCGTGTCTCGGTCAACTCGACGTACAACAGTACGTAATTTATTAGGCAGTTTGTACAGCTACGTTTTTGAGATTTCCGTGAGGCTCCATATCTCTTGGGAATGGGCAAAATTTTTAAAGTTGACATGGAAAATGTGAAGACTACCCCCAACTACAATTTACAAATTTGTTCCGGAAATTTTGACCACTCCCGAGAGATACGCAGCGTTTCTGGAATCCTAAAAACGTAACTGCCTCCACAAACTCCTATTATTTAATTGTCCAAATTTATTTAGGAAATTGTGATTTATGAAATTATTACAAACTTTGAGAGTGTACTTGTCCATAATTACTTAGCCCGTCCATTTTGGCTTAGTCTATCCGACAATGAGACCGAAGGAAGCTTCGCCTGGTCACATAACAATACGCCACTTCAGGGATATATAAACTGGGCGGAAAATTCTCCAGTCACAGATCCCGACAATGGTCCGAGAATTAACTGCGTCTCCGTCCAGCAGTTTGTCGGGGGATTGAAATGTGTCTGGATTAATCTTCCTTGCGACTCGACCTGCTGGCGACCACTCTGCTCACGGCAGTAAAATCAGTAAAATGCTGCTTCAAAAATATTTTACATGTGTGCCAAGCATCAGGTAATAAAGTTAAATATTTATTTGACTGTGACGACGAAGAAGCAAACGAGGAGGAGATTTAACTTTATTACCTGATGCTTGGCACACATAAAGTATATTAATAGACTCCATTAATTCAATAAATCAGATTCACAGATATTAACGAAATAAAAAATTGGAATAAGACAGGAAATAATGTCCTAATTTAAAACGAAAGGTATGCGAGAGAGCGAGAGATGAGTGGATGGAGTGGTGAGCGGAGCAGGAGTTCAATGCCTCCTCAGTGAAAATTTCGTCATTTTTCGTCACTTGACCTGTCAATAACTCTGGCCAAAGTGTGCATTCTTTGAAATGATTATCACATTGATGCATTAAAACTAGTTGATAAACACATTTATGTTGGTCTCATCCAAATCTGAGTGTTACACTTCGTGCCTTCGCATTGTTAGTATGAGCATTTTGATATTTTATTAACAATTTATTAACATTCCAACAATTAATGAAACCATATTCAGGATCACATCGTAGATAAATAAACATTTAATGGATAGAAATGTCCATACAATTTCTGTAGAATTGTCCATTGTCGGCACTCCATTCCCAGAGGAGGACACACCTGTCACATGTCAAGCCTGGGGGAAACTGTACTTGAAGTGTCGTAATGGCACGTCACCCGTCCCGTTGTTCCACACCCTGGCGTCCCCCTTAGCAAATCTGAGCTGGCCTTCTCGGAAGCAAGTCTCGCTCTCGTACCCTTTCCAACTGTAGTCACACAGGCGGAATTCGTGCCACCCACCGTGCACCGCTTGCCAATAGATTTTGACATCGATCGTTTGCCCCACAGTGTAGTTCCTCACGATCAGACCGCACTCGTGCGCTCCCCCAATTTCATGCTGTCTCGGCATCGCTTGCGTTATTGGATCTCCGCACAGACCACAAGCATTTACGTTGGGATCGGTCACCTACAAATTTGTAATTGTTATTAAATCAAAAACGAACAACCGCGGTAACCGAACCTTGCCCCTAGCTTAGACCATTTATTAGTAATCGGGTAAAAAAGCAAAAAAAATCAGAATGGGCTGTAATGCTTAATTGCTTTTTACTCTTTTATACTTGTTTTATTGCTTTTTACTCGTGCTATTTTTCTAACTTAAGCGCCACCTAGCGGCGTAAATGCCAACTATAATGTTATAAGTAGCAAAAAAAAGTGTCTTAAATTTTCCAATTTGTCCACACAGCAAAATATTATTTCGTTTCATCATGCACACAAAATTTCTAAAATGTTAAAATTTTATAAATAAAATGAAAAAGTTGCCAACACTAATAAATATTTAACTGACAAAGTATTCGAAGCTAATTGTAAGCTGACTCTTTATGTAAATTGTGACGAGGTGCCACCACCGCCACCTTCAGAGTGGAGTTTGTATCCGGGGGGCTTCTCTGTATACGTGCGAGTCGGCATGGGCCCGCACATAAAATAATCTGTAAAGTGTAGAATCCAGACAGTCCCAATAAAGGAACCAACCAGTACACACTGCAAACCCGCTTGTTCCTCTCCGGGATTCACCATCACATCGTCCTCCGACCATCCGCATCTGCATCCCCATCATCCACAGCATCAGCATCCATGATCACCTGCATATTCGGGGGGGTGTGACAACTAAGGGGAGTCGTCCACGAGGTCACGACCAGAGCCTGGGGTCGTCAGTCGTGGAGCAAAGAACGACGGGGCGTTGCAAAATTCGTAATGCAATGTCAATACCTTCATGGTTTTCAATAAAAAATTTCTTGAAAGAGCCAAATTTTTGGTGAACTGGATAAAAATGTGTATTATGCGTAATTACATAAACGTGTGAATTACATAGAAAAAAACACTGGGGGAACGAAAACCTCATGCCGAAATTAATTCGTACCCATTCTCCACATATCAATGGTATCATGTCGATTACCGGTATTGTACACGTAATCATTTATGTGCACATAATAATTAAATGATTATGTGTAAATAATTATATGTATGTAAATGATTACGTGTAAACGATTATGTGTAAAATACCGGACACCAAAGTTAGGCAATCTCATCATCCATGAAGGGTGAAATTCTTTCATGGCTTTGCGCAGAATAATGATCAATATATTAATTTATGGACGTCCCTAAATCCAGAAAAATTAAGGTGTTACACAAAACTAGGTACACTCTTAGAAATTGGGTTATGATTATCACCAGAAAATAAAGCACGATACATAAGTAGCGCAATAATGCTGAGAATGCTGAGAATGCCGAGAATTAATTTGCGCTATAAAGCTCAAATTAATTTAATTAATTAATTAAAGTAATTAATTAATTAATTAATTGATTGACTGATTGATTGACTGATAGATTGATTAATTGACTAATGATTGATTAATTAATTAATTGACCACATGCTCTATACTGCGACATGTCGACAACACCGAAAAACATGTTTTGCCCAAATTTCATGCCAATCGCCCAAAAAATGCCGAAATTAGGGCATGGCGACGCTTTTCGACATAATGTCGAAAAAGTGGCCACACCCCCTTAATAGGGTGTCACTCCACCCCCATGATGAACATGTGTTAGAAGTTTCAAGTCGCTGCGACTAACCGTTCTCGAGTTTTAGTGTTGACGGACAGACGGACAGACAGACTAACTAACCGATCGCATAAAGTAGCTTGCGCTACTTAATAAACATATACATAAGACCATACCGCTTCGTTCTAAATTTGTCATGGACTGGGTATAAATGCGCTACCAGTTGTATACGTTTCACAACTTATAAACAAACAACTTATAAAGGTGACAAGCCTATGTATAGCCATGTCGGAAAAGTCATAAATTTATGACTAGGGTCATATGGGGCAAGTGTGAGTGGTTTTCGTGAAAGTCATGCTTTACATTGTCTCAAATTCGGAGCAAAACATTTCTAAAATTCTAAATTGTGATAATTGCATAATAGATTACTTGAGCCAAAATAGTATGCAAGCCTTTTAAAAAAATATTTAAAGTTGAGTGAGTTGTGCAAGATTAAGTATGTGCACACACTTGCCCCCTGATATTGCACTAAGCGGGGCAAGTGTGATTTTTCGTGTGGCAAGTGTGACAGCGTTCAAAATTTTGCAGATATCGATCCAGTGACTAAATCACCGGTTTATTAAGTAGCGCAAGCTACTTTATGCGATCGGTTAGTTAGTCTGTCTGTCTGTCTGTCTGTCTGTCTGTGAGCACTAAAACTCGAGAACGGTTTGTCGCAGCGACCTGAAATTTTTAACACATGTTCTACACGGGCAGGGGGTGACACCCTATTAAGGGGGTGTGGCCACTTTGTCGACATCATGTCGAAAAGCGTCGCTACGACCTAATTTAGGCATTTTTTGGGCGATTGGCATGAAATTTGGGCAAATCATGTTTTTTGGTGTTGTCGACATGTCGCAATATGGCGATTAAGGTTTCGACACTTTTTTCGCCAAATTCTGTCGCCATTCCCTAATTTAGGCATTTTGCGGTCAATATGCATGAAATTTAGGCAAAACATGTTTTTCTGTTGTCGACATGTCGCAGTATAGAGCATGTGTTCAATTAATTAATTAATCAATCAGTCAATCAATTAATTAATTAATCAATCATTAATCAATTAATTAATCAATTAATCAATCAGTCAATCAATCAATTAATTAATTAATTAATTACTTTAATTAATTAATTGAATTAATTTGAGCTTTATAGCGCAAATTAATTCTCAGCATTCTCAGCATTCTCAGCATTATTGCGCTACTTATGTATCGTGCTTTGCCGCACTTTATTATTACAAATAACGGTATTATCAGATATTGTTGTAGGTACGTAAATTACAAATTAGGGTGGTTTCGTGTACTCATACGAGGATTTTTTTCAGGCCGATTTTCCTTCTTGTCAGTTGTTTTAGGTTTTCGACTGAAATTGCTTAATTACACAAAGTTGGTAAGAATAGTGTTTTGCACCATTTCGCGAACACATCTTCGGTCATCCACCCATTATCAGAGGTTTTTTTGCTTACTATGTCCACAACTGAAGATCAAGTCCCCAGTTATTCATGATTTTGAAACATTTCGGCAGATTTTCTTCCGCCTGAATCGACAGAACAGGGGATGTTCCAATATTGCTTGAGTCAATTGTGCTTTTCCTCCACTTCCACTGCCTAATCTTCAGTGTTAATGTCAATTCTTGAAACTTTGCAGACTGTGTACAAGATTTCAGCTTTGCAGCACTATTTTGTAATTTTGGTGTATAAAACCTAAGGCCTGTACCTCCATCTCGTATAACTTAATTTTTTAATAAATGAACAATTAAAGTAGGTATATGCATATTTGCCATTTGTTGCACTTAATACCCACTATGACACATGAAGACTTTGTACCTGTGCACCTTTCCTTGAAGGATACTCAGAATTCTATTTTTAACGTTAAATTCGAGTCCAAATTCCTGGTATATAATATACCCGGATAATTCCGGATATATAATTTGCCATAGGGGGCCGTTCATAAATTATGTAACGCAAAAATCGACTTTTTTCAGACCCCTCCCCCCCTCTGTCACACTAGCGTAACGAAAGGCTACTACCCCCCTCCCCCCTGCGTAACGTAACGCAATTCTCATTTTTCCCATAACAGGAAGAAATATGTACACAAAATGAAAGGGTGATTACTGGGTGGTACCGTCATTTCCTTTCTCATTTAATTCATGAAAATATGGCAAAATCTTGAAAAGGTACATCAGGCTCACTATTTCTAAACCTTTAGGGCTACATGCAAGATCCATCATTTGGATCATTTAACTTAAGATTATGTTCTTGTATTTTAAAGTTAAGAAAATCTGAGATTTTCAAAGTGCCCCGAGTTTCCAATGAGTCTGAAGTTATGTGTATGTATTTAGAAGACTGTCTAATTAGAAAAGTCACAAAAAAACATCTAACGAACAAACCTGGCACAATTGAATCCAATTGGGGGTATGCTAGACGTAATGGTATTTAAATAATCTTATGAAAAATATTTATTCCATGTCGTTGTAATTCGACGATTTGGAAGGCAACGAAAATTTTTTGAGCATTTTTGTTTGAAAGGCCAACTCTTTAGAAACAACATTTAAGGCAACTCAAATCAGCAACTCATTGGCACCGCAAGTTCGCGACAACGCTC